GCGCTTTGCGTCAGCCACATGTAATTACTTCGAGTTTTGATTGGTTCAATGTATTGTCTGTGTCCTATGTGATTGGCTAGAGTAATTACTTTGGTTTTGGTTTTACGACACTCAAACGAAAACCACTCTATACACCAGAACAAGACGGAATTTGAAGAATTGAAACAGTTTGTTAAAGTAACCTTCAAGCTAATGGGTCTACATATGTATTAAATTCACATACCTTTTCGGTTCCCGTCCATATTGGTTCTAATGGTCTTACGTTTGATCTTAATGTACCAGTAAGTCTCTACAAAATCGTTTTCAAAACAGACTTTTTCAATATACTCTTTTTTAATAAGAAATTTGCCAAAATATTAAGAAAATGCTAAGAACATACCCAAGGCTCAGAGAAGAGCAATTTATTTTTCACAGCTTTTGCTTTCCTAAATTCAGAAAATCTGATTTTCATAATATCGTACATAGAATTAGAGTACAAGTAAAGTTTTGTTCTTTCAACACATTCCTATCATGTTTGGTCGCTAATACATTTACATTGTACTTAATTCATTAATATGAAATTATCATTGTCTTATGTTGTCTCAATGAAGCTTAAAAGTTATAAGATTTCCGTTGTTTGAAATTTAAGATTATCTGTAGGAACATTTCCTGGCTGAAAGTGTCCAAAACATGAGAAACGTGCCAGCCCAACTCGAAAATGGAAGTTATTATAAGAAAAATAGTGTATTTAAACATGATCTTCTTAGAGAAACAATCACAGAACGTTAAATTTCATACAGAAATAGACGCCACACAAAGCCGGGATCTAAATCATCTAGATCATCCCCTTGGAAGTAAGTCTGGCAGAAGTAGTAGAAGGAAAGTTGCCCACGGCCAAAAACATCAGGGGACGAGAGATAGAGATGCAAAAATCAAGACCAAAAAAGACTTGAAGGGAGAAAATGATTTCTACATTGAAGAAAACGATGAGCCAAAAGAGAAGCTGTATATTGTGGAGATACGGGACTTTGGGGACGGAAAGAAGAGCGGTGAACGGGAAAAAGATGATGAGCCAAAAACAGCAGATACCGAGACTGTTCAGAGATTTAGAAGAGGCCCTTACAGACATTTGCTGCAATTTCAGGGCGAAGAAAATATCCCTCCGCAAGGCTACATACCAGGTTTGAGTTTGAGCACAGACAGCTTATGTGTTTTAATGCTGCTCCTGACCACACGTGAACGATATAGAACGTTTTCACTCACGTGACCAGGGGCTATGCAAATTAATTGGAACAAATGAAAGAGTTTACACATGAAAAAGGTTCAAATCCCACAGGATCGGTTTGGTACACCAACAAATTAAGAATTATTGTAGCAGGAGAAAGGTGTAATGTTAGAGGAGAATATTTTGAAAGAGGCTCCACGTCTGAATAAAAAATAGTCAGAGGCTATCAAACTTTAGGCGGAGAATTCTCTGATCTCCGATGCCTAATGAACACCCTGGCCGCCAACATGGCCGCCGTTTCATAGTTTTGGACACCAATATGGCGGACGTGACGTCATGTAAGAATGCTCTATAGGCGATCTCGTAAAAGGTCCCCAGATGGGTCTCTCGATGGGTTGTAAACAGATGATAAAGTATCGTTCCTTTGTGAAAGCCTTAACTCACGGATCATTATACGTTTCTGGGAAACTGCCCACCTACCCCTCCCTTAAGCAACCTTTTTTTCCTAAGTGAGAAGCAAGTGTTAATGTTGGCTTAGGGGAGGGGTAGGAAGGCAGTTTCCAACTCGGATTTACACTAAGCATTTATTCCTCTTTCAGTATCCTCCATACAATGCTCCCATCCAGCAGTTCCTGAAAAAATAGATGATGATACCATAATATATCTCCGAGATGAATGCCGCTTGTGCCATTGCAAGACGGGTGAGCTTATCTGTGCAGTGAGGCCTCAATCCTGTGATCAACATCGCACCAACAGGTCATGTTCCATGGAGAATGGCGAAATAGCAGACGGGGAAAGGCATTTTGACGGATGTAATCATTGCTTGTGTCGTAATGGTGAGATTTTTTTTTCCACAGTACTTAAATTTCCCCAGAGGTCAGACGAAGAGCTACATTTGTGAGGGGAAATGGCTGGCTTTTGTTCTTTAGGGTCACTTTTCCTCCAGAAAGACACGTTGTTTAATATGTTTTGGGTGATGGAGCAAACGCACACAGTCTATTTTTCTGCGCTCGATAAAAACGCACATTCATTCAGCCTATGAAAGCTAACAGTTCATCAAAATCATGTAGATAATAACGTAAAATTAAGGGCTTGTTTACATGGAGGTGGCGGACCCCAGATAGGTGAGGTAACGTGCGGCGGGTCACCCCACCTATCATGCAAACGTGATCAAATTAAAGTGAGAGATTACATGGACAGGCGGGTTACCCCACCTAAGCGGGTTACTTCACCTACCTGGGGTCCCCCACCTCGATGTAAACAGGCCCTAAAAAACACCCCGTACGTTTATTGTTTAAGATTTTTTATCATTAATGAAACAAAGCCTGTGTTGTTTTATCACATCTCTCAGTACGCGCGCTGTGATTCGTCAATTTCGAGGGCCGCTAATTTTGATAACTTGTATTCCTGCGCGCGCGATTTAAAAAAGTATAATGAACATCTTCCTTACTTATATCTAAATTAAGGATCCTCGTTTTTCTTCTCGCTGATGTACGACCTACGTTCATGCTAACTAACACTGCGGACCGAGAGAACGAGATTAGTAAGAGTACTTACACAGCCTGATATTTTTGTCCTTTGCAATTTATTTTGTGGTAGAAAAATAAACAAAATACAAAAAAAGCAAGTTAGAGTAAGCTCTTTGACAGCGGAAAGACCAAAAGCGAGACGGTTCTGGGCCCAGTCGTTGGAACGTTGGTTAGAGCTAACCCGGGGTTAAATTTTTACCCCGGGTTTCTTTTTCTATGTGTCAAAAGCATTCCCTCGGATAATGTTCTCTATTCTTTTTAGAGTATCCAATCAACAATTTTAGGAAAAGACAATTAAACTGAATTTGCCTTTTAAGCTCTCATATCTGAGTTCAAATTTCGCACTAACACTAGGTTACCTTAACCCAGCTTTGAACAACCCGGCCTTGATGGAAAAATCAGCAACATATCATCACATAAGACTAAGAATCCAAAACATGAGAGAGGAAAAAGAGAACTGAACTTGAAAAAACATTCTCTGGGATCTCAAAGGGCGTGGGGATAGTATCTTATCTAAAGTATAGTTTCCTATAAGTAATGAAAAACCAAAAGAGTGTACAACACGAGCGCGCGTGAAAATCACTCCACGCGAGGAAAGCCTCGCGCGTGGTGTGATTTTCACGCGCGTTCGCGTTTCGCTCGCTCTACTATCCCTGAGGAAAAATTGGGACTTCTCGTAGTCTAAAAAGAGTGTGGTGGTGTTTATTTTTCTACTTTTCAAATTGTTCTCTTTGTAAGGTGAACTGCTCTGCACTCGCGTTCGATGTCCGTCTGCAAATTACAACTATACCCATTACCCAAAGGGCATCAGCGATACACAGGAAAACGGAACCAGAGGTAATGTATTGGATAGGACCATGAGAGGCAAGGACTCTTGCATGGAGTGTGATTATGACCCTATTTTCCCTGTCTGTGGACCCAACTGGAAGACGTACCGATCGATGTGCCACGCCCTTTATTGTGGGGATCTGAGAATCGAGAATGTTAAAGAGGGATCTTGTGAGACCATGGTTAGTAAAAATAAATTTTCACATTTAATCACAACGTTTTGCGCGATGAAAATAAACACCATTAGACCATTGCTTGCGAAAAATCTTCTAAATATAATGCAACCGTTTTAGCTTCTGAGGCATAAGGCATTGTTGATATATTAATTCCTTGTCTCAACAATTATATTCAAAATAGTAAAGCTATCAACTCCCTTTATAACGGAGACTGTAGGGACCTCGAGTTATTGTCCTCATTAGCGAGAGTCCATAATAGCAGGAGTTTATTTCAGTCAAACTTCTGTAATTTACTTTTAGCCTGGGATTTAGCTTCGGTCCCTATTATCGGGGTATCCGTTATAGCGACGTTTCCGCAAGTCGAGAGTTGACTGGAAATTGTTTACTTCTTGTCAGTGAAATAAGAAATGAACTGCAAAGTTAGCCCTGGTAATTCATGAGGATCTATAGGAAGTATTCGGTAAATATCGTTTTGTGATCATTCTCAACCCAGTTAGAGATAACATTTTGATTCATTTTATCTTTCTAGAACCCTTGCGACGATGCTAAATGCCCAGACCATGAAATATGTGTTGCTAAGATACAAGGCCCGTGTTTGACGAGTACAACAACTGATGGAGACATAGTGGAGTGTCCGCAATACCGATGTGGTAACTAAAAATTTATTACAAAAATAAGACACATTGACGCAAACGACACATTTTAGGTAACTCACGAGTCTTCACACTAGTATAGTATCTGTCACTTCATGTTATCTTTCCATGATAATTCTCGTAAAGCGAGGACAGCAAGTCGCGCGCGCAGCGCGTGGATCGTGCGTGGATCACGTCCAAATCCGAATAATTTCCCTCGCCTAAAGCCTCAGCAAATTATTAGAATTATGAGAAAACATGCGTAAAATTATTCCCTAATTTCACTCGTCACCATTTGATTACATATACTAATAACGCAGAGGTGGCATCATTATCCTCGGATTCGTTTTTTCCATGTGAGCAATAGGGCAGGGCCCCGGGGGCAGGGCAGTAAGTGGACCCAACTGGAAGACGTACCGATCGATGTGCCACGCCCTTTATTGTGGGGATCTGAGAATCGAGAATGTTAAAGAGGGATCTTGTGAGACCATGGTTAGTAAAAATAAATTTTCACATTTAATCACAGCGTTTTGCGCGATGAAAATGAACACCATGTGACCATTGCTTGCGAAAAATCTTCTAAATATAATGCAACCGTTTTAGCTCTGAGGCGTAAGACATTGCTGATATATTATTTCCTTTTTTCAAAAATTATGTTCAAAATTGTAAAGCTATCAACTCCCTTTATAACGGAGACTGTAGGGACCTCGAGTTATTGTCCTCATTAGCGAGAGTCCATAATAGCGGGAGTTAATTTCAGTCAAACTTCTGTGATTTATTTTTAGCCTGGGATTTAGCTTCGGTCCCTATTATCGAAGTATCCGTTATAGCGACGTGTCCGCAAGTCGAGAGTTGACTGTAAATTGTTTACTTTTTATCAGTGAAATAAGAAATGAACTGCAAAGTTAGCCCTGGTAATTCGTGAGGATCTATAGGAAGTATTCGGTAAACATTGTTTTTTGATCATTCTCAACCCAGTTAGAGATAACATTTTGATTCATTTTATTTTTCTAGAACCCTTGCGACGATGCCAAATGCCCAGACCATGAAATATGTGTTGCTAAGATACAAGGCCCGTGTTTGACGAGTACAACAACTGATGGAGACATAGTGGAGTGTCCGCAATACCGATGTGGTAACTAAAAATTTATTACGAAAATAAGACACATTGACGCAAACGACACATTTTAGGTAACTCACGAGTCTTCACACTATAGTATCTGTCACTTCATGTTATCTTTCCATGATAATTCTCGTAAAGCGAGGACAGCAAGTCGCGCGCGCAGCGCGTGGATCGTGCGTGGATCACGTCCAAATCCGAATAATTTCCCTCGCCTAAAGTCTCAGCAAATTATTAGAATTATGAGAAAATATGAGTAAAATTATTCCCTAATTTCACTCGTCACCATTTGATTGCATATACTAATAACGCAGACGTGGCATCATCATCCTCGGATTCGTTTTTTCCATGTGAGCAATAGGGCAGGGCCCCGGGGGCAAGGCAGTACGTTAACACTCTTCATTGTAGAGTATGCAATTCTTTTGGCCGGAAGAATTAGAATCCCTTGCCAGTTTCAAATAGCAGGCAAGTCTAAAAGCTGAGCAACAAACACTCTATGAGCAGTACACGTCGCTGGTTTGTCATGAGTCATGTATTATCTCTTTTATAGTCAATCCCAGTAAGGACTGTAGCGTGGATCTGGATAGTGACGTATGCGGTGAAGATCATAAAACCTACAAAAGCGAGTGCGCTTTGTCTACACGAGGAATTTCTTTGGCTTATTATGGACCCTGTAAAGGAGAATGTTTTGTGGATGACACGCGGGTAAGTTGCTCATTTATTTTAAAAATGCTGCTAAGTCACTTAACAAATGCAGTCACTGTAACAAGACATGCGAAGCGTGCGCATTAGTCACGCAAGTTATTCAAGGAATTTCGTCAAACATATGTATTCCGGGATTTCCGCCGAGACAACTTGTGCAATCAGCAACAGAGAAACATGCCTTCCTCATGATATAGGCAGGATAGAAGTAAGGATTGTACGTATTTCGGTTTGATATTTTAGTGAGCCGACCAAAAGAATTATCCTTGGGCCGAAGTTCCCAGTATGAGTGTTCACGTCCGGCGCGCTTTTTGTCGCTTCAACTAGGTTACCATAGCCTACCATTTCTATTATGTATGAACTGTACTCACAGGTCTCGTTTGTCTAGATGTGCGGTGTGGATGGCGTGACATTTGCTAGCAGTTGTCACGCCGCTCGTCTCAACAGTCACGTCGATTATCCCGGACCATGTGACCAGGTGGACCCCAAGAACAACGTTATGATGAACAGTAAAGACCCCGGTGCAAACTATAACCGCCGGTGCAAAACTGTCGAGGAACTTGCTCGCTGCCCAGAAATTGCTTGCTCAAAACACGTTATATCAGAGGGAAGCTGTTGTCGAGCTTGTGGTAAGTGATTCTCAATCAGGATATGAAACAATTAGTTTCATTTTACAAAAAAGAGTTTAGTCTGACTATGGCCGACTCATAACTACATATGTATCTGCGACCAAACAAAACCCGTCAATACAGACACCAAACCAAACCCCGTCAATACAGACACTAAAGGGGAAGTGAAAATAGCCATCTTTTGTTAGAGCAAAATACAAAACAAATAAAAGAGGACGGAAGCATCGTCAAATTAAACATCTCTGCCCTTCAAAAAGCTGTCATTCCACGGTCTAAATCCGCAGAAACACTCAAAAATCGATCATTATTATGCTACTTAATCAAAACCGTTCTCTGCATAAATTCGCTTGATGCCAAAATAGTCTAAAATTGACGTCTATAATTCATCCGGTCCTGTTAACTGAAGCGCTTGGAACATCGACATTGTCCGCGTTAGCGAGGTTGACTTTCAAAGAGAATCTGTTGATTGGGCAAAAACAAGCGTCCGTTGTCCGCATTAGTGGGTGTCCGTATTAAGCGGGTTGAATTTAGAGAAAATGTAAGGGCTTTCCTTAGGGGCAAAGAAAACTGTCAGTAATAATGAGGTGTCTGTATTAAGCGGGTGTCCGTAAAGCGGGGTTCGAGTGTATTCTGTTTCATTGTCCCAAAAAGCATATCCCACGCATGAGTCCAATTTTTCTTGGAACTTCATCAAGTCATTTTTGTTTTTGCAGGCACCGCAATAAGCATTCGACTGGACATCGCCGCAAGAGACATGGCCACTTTAAAAATCGCTGACGACAAGCCCTACTACAATCTCAACAGGCTTGACTTAATCCACAACACCCTCAAATCTCTGTTTCCTAACGGCAATAGATGTCAGCTGACCACAGATCTCGTGGACACCAACGACATCTCCGTCGTCTTTTCGTCGATCAAACCCGAGGATTTGGACACCTGCGAGCAAGTGGCGCGAAAAACCGTCGACCTTATCAACTCTCCCTCCAAAAATGATCTGGACCCGGGGCAGGCGTTACTCGCCGCCGCTGTTGTCGTGGAACAGTCGGAAGAAAACTTCGTACTCACGATTGAGTCTTTCGCTTCGGTAATGGTAACACAGCGAAAAAGAAGGGCGTCTCACCACGAGCATGAACCAATGTTCAGTCAAAATACACGGATTTGTCCTCAAAACATCATTTTCTTGTTTCTAGTGACGGTAGGTTTGCACTGGACTACAAACCTGGCCGACAACTGAACTCTTGTGAATCTCATTCTAAATTGACATATTTACATATTTCTACTGGATGGAAAATTTCAATAAAATTGACTCAAAAAATTTCAACTGAAAAATAATTAACTGATAACTCATTGAATTTTTGGATCAGGAGAACTTTTTTCCTAAGGCTGGATACCTAATCGAACATTAATGTAACTTGTATGCTGTATGTTCAAAATAAATATTGACCACGTCAAATTTTCTATCTTCAGTTAATTTCTTCATACGATTGAATAATCGTGTAGAGCAGGCGCTATTTCTTCGTGTTTCTCAAGCGAGCATGAAGCGGGCATACAGCGCGAGACGGGAAAGGCGCTTAAAAAATACCGCCTGTCCGCAAACCATGTCATGTTCAATTCCGCCCCGAGACACACACCCAAAAGACCATTTCCGCGTCTTACCCCATTGCGAGTGTCTTGCACACCACGCCCACGCCACTTTGCGCTTGCCCTCACTCACCTGAGAAACGCAAAAAAAAATAATAATAACGCTTGTTCTGCAGGCTAGAGTATTCGTAAATCCACAGAGCAAAGAGAAAATGCTTTCTGTGTATTTTTATTAACAGCACAGGAAAGAAATGGTTTGTAAACTATCAGGAATGAAGAGTATACTCTTCTTGAGTGAAGAACATCAAAGTTGGTTTAAAATGTAGCTGAGCACAACAGGTATACACTGTAAAAGGGTTAGTATTTCGCGCAACTCATACATGCGATTGCCTACTACCGCCTAGGCTGCGAGCAGTCTCTCTTTTGCTCGAAACTCTGTGATCGTAACTAGCGCCCTCGCAACTCGCGTGACTTTACTGCTCAAATACTCTCACTTGCAGATTTCCGAGCAAAAGAGAGACTGCTCGAAGTCTAACTGCAGCCCCTTCCACCCTTGCACCCTTCCTGTCCACAAACGTAATAGTACCAGGGTCAAGAAATCATAAAAAAATTCTCATAAACTAACTAACCATGAAGTAAGGTCAGAATGTTAACTTTCAGCTATAAATCTGGCAATTCACTAAAACATTCCATTGTTAAAGCACTGTCTTCTTCACTGTGTGAAACCACAGGGTACCCACTCTCTTCTTCCTCTTGGAAGTCCTGTGGAATGTACATCATACTGGCATCACCCGTGCCATAGTTACAAGAGTGGCAAGGTGCAACCTTACGAAATGCCATACAATGTAGATGAGTTTGTTTTTCATACTTAAACCGCACGAATCCAAGTGACTCAATAGCAGTCTTCCAAGATTTTATCATTGCAGAGTTTTTATTCTGATGACTGGAGTCTGGCGTAACAATTAATAGCAAACCATTTGTCTGTAAAAGTTGATGGGCTTTTTGGCAGCATTCCCATCGTTGAGAAGCAGAAGGAAAGTAAGACAAAAGAAGGGAAAATACAACGACATGGAACATTTCTGATGGAAGAATATTGATCTCTTTGCCCTCTAATTCCTTTAAATAGTGCTCTAAGTACGTCAAGTTACGTTTGTCTCCATTGTTCACTACATTTGATGCTGTTGAGCTCATCAAAAGCTTGCCATTTTGTGGAGATGTTTCAGAGCTTTCCTCTGACCCAGTTGATGCATTACAGAAGTGCTCAGTAAAAATTGGGACAGCCATGTCTTGTTTTTCTGGCGACATTTCGTTTGATGGATTTCTCATACTTGTATCATAATTCTTGCAAGAACAGCATTTTTGAGTTAAAGGAGGCATTTCTTTTAATTCAAGATTAAGAAAATCACACCTGTAAACAGTCTGTAAAATAAGTTTACAGTTACTTTGTTAGCTTAAAATGCATAAAATGTAAAATGTTACAAGTTTTACCTTACTGTTCAAAGGCACCCAAGGGCGTTTTATCAAACTGAAAAAAAAAACCGACTAAGGTGGTTGGTGTTAACATTGATCAAAGAAGAAGTCATACTTACAGAGATTGCAGGCTGCAGATCTATGGCAAGTGGATCAATATTGTTATAAACAGCAAATGGATTGAAACAACTTCCAACATCAAGAAGAAGTAACTTGCCATTTACTGATGGAAATCTGGGAAAAAATATGATGTTCACCATGAATATAACTGTCCTCAAATCACAAGATGTAGCCTGTGCCAGACCCTTGGTCAGTGCCAATGAATAAAAAAAATAAGTGAGCAGTGAAATAGGGAATGATAAAAAATCGGTGGGAAAAGCGAAGGAGAGAGCCTGCAATCATCTTTTCAAATACCTTAATCCACACACCACCTTGCCCTCTTCCTAAAAAAAGCCTTTTCTCCTGTCAAAATGTCAAAGGTCAAAACATCAAAAGGTGCTGTGTGGGAGGGTTTCTGTCCTTGGCATGTATGTAAAACTCAGCATGCGCGAAGCCAAATGACTGAAGTAAGTGTTGAAGTAACCTGTCACAAATGACCAATCATGGGGTATACCAGGAGCTGGACATCGGAATGAGGTATTGAAACAGTGCTCACAGGCTCCCCTACTCCATCTCTCCCCAACCCCCACGTAGTTTGCAGGCAACTTCTTGTAATCTGCTTTCCTCACTATCTTTGAGCCTGGAACAGGCTACACAAAATGGGGTTTGCAGTTTTTTGCCAACTTGGCAAAAAATTGGAAAAAATTGGTGTTCCAATTGTTAGTACACCCTTATTGTATGGTTGATGGGGTAATTGGTTGACAAGTGAACATTGAAAAAGTGGATCACTGGATTTGTGGCTGGGCCTAGTGGTGAAGTGAAGAGTGTTGTACAGCACTATCCATGGGGTAAATCAATATCCAGCAGATCAGTATTAGATAATCCAATTGTGTTATCCACTGAATAGAGAATATATTCAGTGGATAATGATATATAATTAACCTTCTGAACAACTGGGGCCAGGTTTTTTGCGGGATCTTGAGGGTCCATAGTAGTTACTCACAAGGCATGACACAAGGCACCTGACAACTTTCTTGCATTTTGAAACAGTCACACTTCCTATTCAGCAACTGTCTCTACATGCACTTTTTTTTAAAGGAGTTAAGCCTTCAAAGTGATCAGAGTTCTCTGCTGATAATCTCTGAAAAAACACTTACCTAGCACTAGGACAAATCTCACTTTCCTCTGCATCAAAACAGCAGCAACATTTGTTCACAGTTTCAGAAAACTGTCGTCTCCTTTTCTGTTTTTCTTTCAACTTTTTCAGTCCTCCCCCACTGAAGAACTCCACTGCCATTGAATAACACCACTCTACCCTTCCCTCTGGGGACTGTCTTGTCCAGTGATTGACAGCTAACATGTACATGGCAGATGCATATTCCTCCAATGATTTCCTGTCAGTACAGTGGCTTTGCCAGACTTTGTTGTGGTCACCATTTGCTTTATCATTAGAAAACAGGCATGAAGGATTCAACAAAATTAATAAAATCTAAATCGACCCAAGAAAGTCTCCAAATTTTGCAATTATAGTACAGTCAAACTCCGTTAATTCGGATGCAGAGGGGGCCATAGACAGTGTCCATATTAACAGGGTGTCAGGGGCACCCAATGAGAATATAGATCAAAACCACTAAAACATGGCATTGTTGAACGTATTTTAGCATTTAAATGGTAGATATAGGCATATTTTTATCCCATAAAAATTTTTCATCTGTTCGGATTTCCTAGCTGAAAGTCTAGCGATCCGAAAATTATAGGGATGAAAGCTTACCTTTTCGAAAATCTCAGCCAGAAAAAAGGCTCCTGAAAATTCTAGGTGACCTTTTTAGGGTAAAAATCCGTTACAAATGGACAATTATACCATTTTTTAGATGTTCCAAAATCCTCGGAGAGGCAGGCAAGCAAGAAATTTTAAAACAAATGTTCCGAAAATTCTAGATCTCAAATCGTCTTCCGAACAGATATTTTCCAAAAATTGACGTTGGGTGCCCCTGGGGTGTCTTTATTAGGCGGGGTGAATTTAGAGAAAATGTAAGGGCTTTCTTTCCCAAGGTACAAAGCAAACTGTCCATAAGAACAAGGTGCGCGTATTAGGCGGTTCTCCGTAACGCAGGGTTTTTTAATACTGTATAAGGATCTTTACAAGGAACATGAATTGTAATTGATGTTTTTTTTTCTATTTTTATTTTTATCCCACTGGAAAGAGCGTCGCTGTTGAATGACATATGCTAGCTTTACATGTAAAAATGATGAGCCCATATATCAACAAATTCTGAATTAAACTCGACAGATAACTAGCATCTTAACAAATGAGGCATTATTTACCTTCTCTTAACTCTCTCCTTAGCTTGCCGTGCAATCCTTTGATAATATCTGCCAGTTTCTGTTGATCGCAACCTTCCATGTCGGCTGGATCGTCCGCCATATTGACCATGTTGAACATTGAGCCTGCAAATGTTCAGCAGTAAACAAAACTAAAGCATGTGCGGACATCTCGGGAAACAAACATGGCGGATGGGCAACGTGTCAAAGACTTGTCAAAACATACAATTGATTAGCACATTTTGCAAAAGAATTAGGGGCTAACCACTCCTAGACTTCGGTGAGGAAAAAGTATATTTCATGCCTTTCAGCTGCTTTTAATTAAAAAGGTGTGTAGTCAAGCCTTGAAAAGAAATTCCGGCGTGAAAACTCGGCAGAAGAATAGTCGTTACTTGCATCGGGTGTGACTTCTTTAATGAGCATGCTACCTAAAGCATCCAGCAGAGTTGCTCAATATTCCTCTACACTTTGCTTTCTTCTCTTCTTCGCTGGAGCTGCGAATGGTATCAGAGAGCGCTGGCTTCACCATACAACAGATGGGAGCATCCATCTTCTTGCTATCGCGGTTTCTGTGGCTGTTTTGATTTCTATAGCTACTTATCTTTACGGATACAAAGAGTTTGGAAAAGGATTCAGCCATTTGTGGATGGGTGTACTTTTCAGTGTTTTATCCTTCACCGAAATTGCGTTTGATCACCCAATCGATTCTCTTCACGACCTGGATGCCACTGATATTCTCATAATGACAAGTACCGCGGTTCATTGCTTCAGAGCTCTAACTTTAAGAATCTGTGGCACGCCTGTATACGAGTCTATCTTCCTTTCAACAGAAGAGTGCTTGTACCTGCTAGGATTCCTCTCTGGGACGACTGGAACTATGCACTTTGGAAGCATGCTAACAATCATTGTAGCGGTCACAGTTCATTTAATGGCATTTCATATGAAGTCAAGCGTGGCTCTTCTCAGCGCCTGCTGCCTGTGCTTTCTGGGTGGTCTGTATTTCTTTCCAGCCAGTGATGTCCATTACAACCCATACATTTTATCATCTTTTATCGTCCATCTTTCTTTTGAATCTATCATTGACATTTATTTCTCAAGGCTGTCTTTATTGGAAACATGGAAGAAGTTCATATTTCATGGAAGATGCGTTCATAGACTTCAGATAGTTGCAATCTTGGTTTTGGAAGCACTTTTCTATGGATTTAGCACACAGCTCATCAAAGACCCTGAAATGCCAGTGTATAGACTGCCCATATTTGTGCTGATGTCTATTCCATGGGTTTGGTTCCATTTTATGTTTATTGTAACATGTTGGGGATTTGTTGGAAAGCTAGAGGAATGCTGTAATGTTGTAAATACAAGAGGAGAATATAGTGACAATGCCATGTCCGAAATAATGGCATCAAAAGGACTCAGACACTTCTGTCTGGTCTCACAAATTGTAACATTGTATACTTTAGTTTCCACAATTCTTGTGATAGCATCAGCATGGCAAGAAACAAATCCAATATTCATTGGCATGCTGTTGACTGTTCTGCCTATTGAGTTACTCATGTGTGACATCCTAACAAAGCTTGGTAAGTCTGTGGGAGGAACAGCTATTGGTTACGCTGTAGTGGCACCTGCTCATAAGTACAGCCCAACTGGGGATGTCATTGTTCTTGCAGAAAACGCCTTCCAAGCTGTCAACACCAAAGCAATGGAACTCATTAATATTGTGTCCAGATTTTTCTCAAGTCACATGATTCATAACTTTGGCACAGATTTTTCAACTAGTGGTATTTCAGCTGATTACATTGAAAAGAAGATATCATCATTTTTTCAGCAAAGAGTTCTTCCTGGATTGCACTATGACACATACATTTTGTATTATAGTGGACATGTAACAGATAATGGTGACTGGGCGCTCACAGAAAACAACACCCTCTCATTTGATAGCATCTTAAAATGGTGGAGAAACAAAAATGAAGGAACAGGGGCCAGACTCATATTATTTCTTGATACTGCACATTCTGATAAATGGGTGAATGATATTTGGAAAGTTGAAAATGACTTTGTTGCCATCCAGACTGGGAAACTAACAGCCACTTTTGATGCAGAACAGGGAAACATTTTTCCCTTGGGTGAACTTACAAAACTGTGGGACAATTTTAATACCACTGAGTTATCCAAACCAGGAAATTACTGGGACAAAAACAGCATGAAAGTCAAGCCAGTTTATGGTGTCTCCAGAGAATGGTGTTGTTTTAAATTTCATGAACCAACAGTGGAAGATATTGCTTTGCATGTGGAGCAAAACTTCCCAAGATTCATTAAACCAATCACCAAGATTTTCACCCATTTGCCTTGTAATACTAACATTCTAAGCATGTTCGACTGGTTCACCCGTGGTTGCCGTCGAATGAAGATGCGTTGGTTTCCTCCAGCAGTCTATGACACTGGCCATGGATTTAAACTTGTTCGCTGACATTTACGATACAGACACCAGTTAGAATGACTTTCATACCTTATATATATCTCCATTACTGAAGAAGTGCATGGGAAACGTCAGATATGACTTCTGATCTCATGTTAAATTCCTTTGTTGGTTGCTCAAGCAAACAAAGGCAATTAAAAGGAGAATCCACCAGTTTTTCAATGGTCACTTGATGCTTTATTCCAGGCGGAGAAGGGAGAACAAAACAGGGTGCACAGAGACATGAAATTTATCTGCTAGTGCCAAATTGATATCTCATGAAAGAGAAAAGAAAACTAGTAAGATATTGATTACAAAACAAGAATATCAACTCCATAATCCTTGTATTATTCTGTTCATGATATAAGATAATACCCTGTCGTTATTTCAAATAAAAAAAAATTCTTTTCTTGAGTAAAGAAAACGAAATGTTTTTAGCCATTGTTTTGCCCTTTTTGGTTTCTTTTTTTCCTCTCTACTTTTTAATCTTAGAATTTAATCAGCAAACCAAGGCAAATGTGCAGTGGATGCAAAGCAATTGTTGCCAACTTCAAAGACAAGTATTGTTGTAAAAGCACAAGTAGGTCACTGATTAGACTTTAATATAACACCCAACAGTATTGTTATAATGCTAAAAGAAGAAGTATAATACTTATTGGTTTATTTAACACATTGTGAAGTTATGGAAAATGGATTACAATCAATCAATTTTATAATAAGCCATTTGCATGACGACATCACTTTACTGCTACAACCAGAATCCTACAGGGTTTGCTTTCGTGTGCAAATTAGGGCTTTTGTTATTTACACCTTGCTGGGATAACAAAATTTAAATATGAAAGGAAAATCAAAAAGGATTCTGCTTCAAGTAGTAGAATGACGCTATCGTGCAAATGGCCCATTAATCAAAGAAAACCATGACTTAAAATTTACAGTAAGAGATTGCTGATGTCTTCAGAAGTTAAAATAATAAGAAAAAAGATTAGACAATTTGTTTGTAAGATAATATGGTAAACAATATTTAAACTTAAAATAACACTTCAATGTACTAACAAATCTAATAAATAAACATAAAGAAAAATAGAGACAATTCTTATTTATAAATATTATTAAAATAACAAACAAAACTAAAGATGCAGCAGTCAATGTTGAATGACACAAGAGTGAGAGACTATTAATCCCATCAATGCCAATCTTCTTTTACATTATTCATACATCAAGAGAGCATCATCAAGAGTAAAGGCTTGGAGAATTATTCAAATGATTAGCCTGAGAAAAGAGCTGACATTTCGCAACGACAATGCTGGTTTCCCTGCCAAATGACATCTAAGAAACGAGCACCAAAATGCCATACTGATGATGCTTTACTACCCAGATCTGAGTAGTGCCTCTTATTGGTCAAGCCGAGTGGTCAGGCTGATTGGTCAGGCCGAGTTTGCTTCAGCCAATCAGAAGCATCATCAGTATGGAATTTCTGTGCTCGTTTCTTAGACGTCATTTCACAGGGAAACCAGTGGTGGCATCACAATATGTTGGCTGTCTTCTCAAGCTAGGGTACAATGTAAATGCTTTGATCTTTGACCAATTTCTCCCAACTAACCTACAACAAAATGTATGGAAAACAGTTTGGAGAATTTGTATGTTGATATTCAATGGGGCTTTAAGGGATAAACAGGGTTGTCAGAAGCTGAGGTTTACTGTTTAGTCATGTTCACATAATAGATTGTGATACAAAGTACAGTATTTAGGTGCTGAGCCATAGATAAAAATATAATATTACATTAATTTACAATGTTATATGGTATAGAAAGTTATTAAAATTAATGAAAAAACAGTTCATTCTTGCTAAGTTTTTTCTTGCATGTACTGGTATGTTGATATCAGGGCTACTCTTAGAGAGAATTGATTGAGGGGGGTCATTTCTAAATTTCCTAAATTCCTTTTAGCATAATAATTTGTACTGAAATTGAAAGGAGAAATTTAATCAGATCAATATAGAGCTTGCAACATATAAAAACCAAGATATTCCCTCATATTTCCCTGAATGCTTCACTGTTTTCCCTGACCTTTCATTTCATATTGTGTAGTTCCACAAGATCTCTATAGTCACTGCCCTCCAACTCTCCATCCCCACCAAAAAAGAAGGAATTGGAAATTACTGGAATAGGAGGTTCTGGATAGGAGTCTTGCCTGACAAACCTTAACCCTTTAAGCCCCAATATCCACATACAAATTCTCCAAACTGATCTCCATACATTTCCTTTAAGAATCAGTTGAGAGAGTTTGATGGCAGATCAAAGCATTTTCTCTTCCGTGATCATTTCGTAAATTCTCATAACCTAATCTCTTGACAAGGTATGAATATTGCTGGGAGAAAATTGATGTTGGTCACCATTGGAACTTAAAGGGTTAAAACAGCTGCACAGGAGACAACCCTGACTGTGGTAATGCTGACTATTGGGGCATTGTTAAATGGCTCATAATAAAACGCTAAAGTGAAACCTTGATAACCTCTTGATAGCGAAGTCCTCAGTATCACAAGTGATTTTCTTTACCCCTCTAATAATAAAGTATGGCTAAAAACTTAATATAACAAAACCTTGTTATAGCAAACAGATTTTGCACTTTTTTATATCAAGGTTCCACTGTAAATAACACTCACATTTCTTAAGTGCTTTTTGCAGTACCATGAATTTAGTTGCAGCATGATGTGCATTCTAAAACAAGGTTCTATAACCATCACTTAGGGGTTTGATTTTCAGTTCCTCCAGTGGTCAGTAGAATATGGTTCTAGTCTTGTGAAAAGGAAACTCGGTGATTCCTTCCAACTCCCTTTTGGCAAAATCCCACAGGTAATAATCAATAATGACAGAGTTCACAACTGAGCTGAGTTCCTCTGCAGGTAAAGAACTGAACTGGGAATCCCCTTTGGCCATTTTCACCATTTCGTGGCACATTAGCTCTACAGCCCAAATGGTATTCCCTCTTATCTCTAACTCTAACTTGTCATCAGCAGGAATGACCTCACCTCTTTTTAGCTTCTCTAAGAGCTCATCAGTGTATTTCATGATGCCAAGATGCAAGAGGGACTGAGGTACTCGGTAATCGGCAAACATGGTGAGATGATCAATATCAGTGAAATGCCCCCATCCTTGTCCCTCAAAGCAAGCCCAGATGTCAGCAATCAAAATTTGTGCACGCTTGTAAAATGATACATTGGTACCTTCAAACTCTGCTTCATCTCGAAAACACTTGAAAGTGCTTGTGATCAGGTTGAGAAGTTTCTCAGCACTATGGTCACACTGTAACAAGACATTGCTAAACGAGTTCTTGTAATCCTTGACTAGAACTTTTCCAACTTCATTTAAATTTTTTCTTCTCTCCTCGAGTAGTGGCATTTCAGTTGGAGTCTCAGATCTGAAGATGTGTTGTAACTGTGTCACGGTGACATCAGCATAATATGAAGGTGTAGTAAATTGAATGCCTTCCTAAATAAAATGAAAATAAAGATGTAATTGGATGAAAAGATTTTCTGGTACCATTAGAGATGGAGTATTCCTTTTTTCAGTCCTTTGTAGCAAATGCACACCCCCAACTTCTCAAGATCTCATGTCTAAGAATGCTGCTAATCCAACATAACACCTCATTTATGGCTATTTAATAATAATAATAATAATAATAATAATAATAATATTAATAATAATAAAATATTTACTTCCCAAAGATATTCATTAAAAAAAACAACAACAACTCAGTGATTGAATGATAAAACAATGATTGCACTAGGTTACTGCAAAAAATCATGATTTGTCAGTGTCTCTCAGCTCAATCACGATATTTTGCTCAACCTCATGCAAGAATTGTTAATTATTTTATCATTAACCATAGACACTTGTAGTAAAAACATTTTAACAGAGGTCAAATAAAGCCTACAACACACCTGGACTGGTCTTCTTTAGGGGTTTAATTTTAATTTTCCTACGAGATTGATCTTCACTTTTACATGAGAGTCACATCCCCCCCCCTCCCAGCCCCTCCCCACCCACTATAAGCAAACTACTATAACCGTTATCATAACTATTATTATTATTATTATTATTATTATTATTACTATTATTATTATTATTATTATTATTATTAATATTATTATTATTACTATTTACATTATTTTTATTACTGTAATTTTGGTTGTTGCTCTCACTGTCGATGTCATCGACATCATCATCACTACCTTGCCATTTAATACAAACCTTCAGAGCTCTGTTTATGGCCGCACACAGCGCCCAGTACCCTTTGTAATTCTTTCCTTCATATCGCACTATCCACGGCTCCACTTTTTCATCCGTCCAAAACGAAAAATTCAACGCATCCAACACAACGATCCAACCTAGGGTTTCTTTCGTCATGTCGTTCGGATGTAGTTCATGTTCCTTCCAAGATTTGAAGCTGTATTTTTTTGATTTCAGGCAGTCGAATATACCTTTCGATGCTTCTTCTACGCCTTTCTGGCAAATAGAAACGTTTTGACTTCTAGAGGAGATGAATCTAGCCGAATCTCGTGGATTTAGCGGCTTGCTCGTCATGTTACTTGAATTATCCGACATCTTGCCTCAGAGCACGTGGCGCCAATGAAAAATACGTGTATTAGGGAGGGGTGGGTAGGTTCCCTTGTTTTATGATAACGTAATATATTCTCAATTTTGTATTATTTTATTTTATTGCACATCTCGTGTAAACTTGGCCACAGATTCCTGAAAGAGAACCTTTTGCACCCATTGATCCCGGTACACGCCAGAATTTTTTTGGCACTTTTGTTGTCTGTTTGTTAGCAGGGGAAGGGTAAATTTCATGGGATGTAGGTACGTGACGTAAGAGCTTCGTGACAGCGAGTATAAAAAACAAGCACATCCGCTATGACCGCATTGTGTTTCGCCCATCGCCACCGAACTGATCGTGTCGAATGTTACTACATTTCGCTGGGTTTTTATCTCTCAATACAAATGCCTTTCATCGACAACAACTTTGTAGAGTTGAAAGACTCTGTTTTTATCAAAGGCTTACCAACAAATGCTAACATTGAAGTCTCCCATGTTAGGTACAAGTCGGGACGAGTGAATCGTTCATGCGAAACGTCAAATTTGAAACTAATTTCTAGTTTATCGGCGTTTGTTTTGTGATATTGCTCTTTATCTTGATGTAATCTGTTTACAGGCAATACTTTAAAGAAAGATTCGGAGAATGCTGTGTAGAAATGTCTTCCCTCTCGAAGGATAAACGATGGTTTTTCGTGGCGCTAAAGTTTAAATCACCTTCGGTCGCCGAAAACGTGATGGAACGGTGAGTTATTTATTAAAGCTGTCACAGATTTCTGTTTTATCAGTGAAACATCTTTCCTTTGAAACAAACATGTATTGAAGATTTCGTTTCCGAAAGTAAAATATTCTCGAGAATTAATCACGCGTATTGTCTCTGATCACAAACTGCCATCGTAAGCATTTTTCGACTGTCTCTTTCCGTCAAAAGTTGACATTTGATTCAATCTCGGGTGAAACCAAGTTTACTTAAAACTGGCCAACTATTAGTTTTAAAAAGGTCCATAATGTTATATATAACTTCACTAGAGTTTCACATGCAAGGCATTTTTTAAAACAAAACTAAACAGGGCCACGGTAAGATAAGTTGGCAAATTGGGATATCTTCTGGATGTTTGATAGTAAAGCTTTAATTATACTAATGCACTAAGAATGAAATTCATTGACAACTTTCTTCACAGCTGATGTCTGTAATCAGAACTTGGACACTCAGATGTAATTCTCCAGTGGAAAAATTTTCAGTTTCAGAATTCTTGGATAATTCACTAAAAATAGAATATCCTTAGGTTGCTATTATAAGTAAGGCACCAGATCTGGAGGTGTCATGTGACTACTAGGACCCCCCCCCCCCCGCCTTCCCCTCCTCCTCATCTAAATCTACCACTGGAGATGTTCAGACAGTTAAGAGAGCAGGAAATGCATGAATCATGTCCCTGTTACACATATGCACTGCTGTTGACTCTGAAGTTAACTATACACTAAGGTGACTTTAGCTGTTACTTTTAGTGTTTCTTGATGATTTTGCTGCAACTTTCATGTCAAATGCTTCTAAAACATTTCGCTAAGCCAGAAGGGAAATTTTCAGGTATTCTGACTTGCATTATTATTTCATTTAGTGAACACCATAGAAACTAAATCAGTAAAATTTTTTCTAGGTTTGGAGGCAAGTATGTATTTGGACATCGAGTGACCATGAGTCACTGGAGAGTACCAAGGAGCAAAGTACCCTCAGGTAAACTCCAACAGGAATCACACCAACCAAATAACAGCACTTGGGAATATAGGGAGAATAATGGCAATGTAGACATGGATAGGAGACATAATGAGGAGAGTTTGAGAGAAAGACGTTCATGGGATACTAACCGTGCATCAAGTGACTTA